CGGGTGCTGAGAGCGCTCCTGGGATCGCTCGGAGCTGCCGGGACGCCCATCCCGAGCTCCGCGGAGGCGGCGTCGCGCTTCTCTTCTCGGCCGCTGGGTGTTGGCGACGGCGATGGCGCAGCGTGGGCCCGGCCGGAGGCGGAAGTGGAGCGGCCGCCATGGAGGCGCCGGGACCGCCCGCCGTGAGGGCGCGGAGCTGCCGGGGCCGCTCGGGCACCCGGCGGGGACACGCCCGCCGTGCAGGTAGGGGCTGTCGGCCCGCGGGGGAGGGCGCAGCTCCGCCGCCGCCGCTCACACCCTCCCGTGACGCGGGTGGGGAGGGGATCGGCGGGTTTCCTCCTTTGCCACCGCAGGAACGCGGCGAGGACAGAGCTGAGCAGGGTGGAGCGGGCTGAGCGCGTCTCTGCGCGGTGCTTGTGGGGACTGGAGGCTTGTCTGGCCCAGAATAGGTTCTGGAAGTGTATCCTGACAGGGCAGGATTCCTGCACCCCGCAGGGTCCGCTGAGAGAGTTTGGTCTTAAGTGATCAGCTTTGACCCGAATAAATAGGAATTACAGATTGAAGCCTGTAATAAAAGGATATTTTTAACGTTAGTTTCGCATTTTATCTCATTATGTGGAAATTGCTCCGTGGTTCTTGATAATGCCGATGAATATATTTTTTTCCAAATTAATAAATCCGTAATATTTATTCCAAAGTAATGGATCCATAATCTTTATTCCAGAGCGTTGAGCATCTGTTTGACAGCTCTCACTCTGAAGTGTAAAATGTCCCTTAGGGTTACCTGAACCAACAGTGGAAGGAACTTATTTTTGTGCTTATTTGACAGAAGTAGTTTGTTCTGGTGTGCTTTCCCTGTAAGTTCTGCTTTGGAGGTGGCTTTTCTGCTTTTTATCATTTTTTTAACGAAATCTGATGTTTTGGAAAGCAGCAGGCACAGGGTAAGTTGTCTAGGGAGGGCAGGGAGCTGTGGTGGGTGGTACAGGTGAGGCTCAGAAGGTTTAAAAAGGCTTTAAAGCACAGGAGGCTTGTTTGGAGTTGACTGGGGGGGAAAGTTCTGGTGTTGGGATTTGTGTTTTAAATATAAAGGTGCTTGGGGATCTGTACAAAATGTATAAAGGTTGGAGGCATTTAGTGCTGAGGGAGCTTTGTGCTGTAATTCTGATTCCTGCAGAGGGGAAAATGAGGAGTTCTTGACTCTGCTCAAGGGCCTGGAGTGACAGGACGAGGGGGAGTGGATTCAGAGTGACAGAGGGCAGAGTTAGGTGGGATATTGGGAAGGAATTCTTGGCTGTGAGGGTGGGGAGGCCCTGGCACAGAGAAGCTGTGACTGTCCCATCACTGGAAGTGTCCAAGCCTTCCACTATCCCACCTGGGGTAGTGGAAGGTGTCACTGCCCACGGCAGGGGGGTTGGGCCAGATGGTTTTGGAGGTCCTTTCCAACCCAAACCATTCTGTGATTCTGTGGTGGATACTGTGATTTAGAAGCTGTTACATCTAACCCAAATGTTTGACAAAACTTGCAAAATTCACTTTGAGTGTGAGCATTCATACCTGGCAATGTGTTTGCCAAACCCTGGCTTAGATTGTGAGCTTTTCTGAGGCAGGATTTGTATCTGTGTATTGAGTCCAGTGCCATTCAATAAATACCAGTTTGTAACAAAACTAATCAGTCTTGTTTCTGATTTCCAGCAGAAAAGCGCTGCCCACCTGGATGTATCCATGACAGCTGGCACCTTTAGGAGGTTCCTCATGGAGCTGTTGGGAGCAGAAGGACTTTATTTCTCTGTAGCCAGTGAGCAGGAGGGTTGTTCTTTTATGGTATTTTAAGCACCTAAGAATGCCCAGTGGGCAGCTCAGCACAGTGTAAATGTTCTCCCACAGCTCAGAGATGATGGAATGAAAACTCTGTGCTTTTGGCCAGCCAGAGGAAGGGTCTAATTTTGGTTTAAGTATCATTTCATTGGAGTATGAACTTCAAGACTGAAATATTTCCTCCTAAATGTCAGTGTTAACCAACCCTGAGACTTCAGGCCAGCCTGGCTGTGCTGGATCCCTGGAGCTCTGCAATCCCTTATAGGGAAGCTGTGGAAATGAGTGGCAGAAACGAGCAGTGTGTGAGCACTTCTGGGTGAGCCACTTACCGTGGGCTGCTCTGCCAACTGCACGGAGTTAACACTTCATAAGATCATGGTCATTTTAATATTTAATCTTTCTCTAAGCAGACCTTCTGTGAGGTGAAGTTTCATGGTTTTTAGGTTGAAAGCTGCAGTCTTTGTGTTGTTTGTGCTGTGTGAACACCAAAGGTCCTGCAGCTGCTCCTGTAGGTGCAGCGCAGGAGAGCTGCTGGGGGATAGGCATTTGAGCAAATTAAAGGCTATCTTAATTCCAAAACAATTCAAACAAAAGCATTAAGGCCCTCTAAGCATGGCACTGGTCATATGTAATCCTAGAGATAAGGTGATGGCTGTAAGTAGATTTAAAGAAAAAAAAAGGTATTTTAAAATGCCTTTGATGTATCAGTTGCAGAATATACAGGAATTTTGCCCAAAGTCTTCCATACATTTGGCACTCAGTAGGAAAAGGCAAAGATAGGAATGTCTTTATATTGCAGGTTTCTTTCTCTCAAGTGTTTAATTCCTTTTTTTTTTTTTTTATAAAATACTTTTCCTCTTGGTGTATCTATTTTGTAATTAATTAGGCAACGTTTTTCCAGTGGTGGTTCAGCTCCTCTATGTGGAACTGCAGTATTTCCCCACAAATGAAGGTCATGTGCAAGTTCCTTCATATTTATTATTGTGTGTCAGAAAAAAAAATTAAAAACTAATCAAAAGCACCTGTTAATGCTAAATTCTTATGCTCAATTTATAGTTTTCCCAGCTCTGGCACCTTCCTGTCCTCCTGTTCAGAAAATGGACGTGTAATTATTCAGACATAACTTCATGCTGATTTTAATCATTTCCTTGTGAGGGTTCCCACTGGAGAAGTTCAGCAGCCCTTGGGAAGGCTGAATTAGTGCAATGATCCACTGGAGTTTAGTGGGGATTTCTGGGATCTGGTGTTCTGCAGCAGTGCAGGATCTTCTGGATATGAATAACCATGGAAATATTTATGCTGTAGAGAACTCTGTCAGGAATATTTGGGTGAGAAAAGTCTCAGAGTTTGGTTTCCTGTCAAATCTGCAAAACAACCAACACTCGCTCTGTAGTTTCTTTTCCCAGTAACACCAGTAAAACCATCAGCTGGCCAGAGCAGCTCTTGGTGATCTGCAGGGAGGAGCATTCCCGTTTTTCCTGAATAAACTGTGTGCAGACTTTGTTGTGCTTTGTGGCTGCAGCTCTCAGCTGCACTCCCACGTGCTATCAGATGTGTGCAGGAAGCAGTGATGCATTAACTGATTAATTAACTGTGTTATTGGCAGCCCAGCAGCAGAAGGAGAGTTTTCGTTCCCAGCTGCTGGAGCTGCTGCTCCCCCTGGCCCGTGAGCTTGGGGTGG